GTGTGCGTGTGTGCCCAAGATCCCGAGAGGAGAATGGAGGAGAAGGGATTGCGGCGTGACCATCCCCCCTAGGGGGTGATTTCTCGCTTTCTGTCTCTATGTCTCTCTCTCTGTCTGTCTGGCGAGCGCACGCGCCCTATAGCGAAAACCTCTCCAAAAAAAAAAAAATTACTAAACTTAGCATTATAAAAATATAAGAAATGCATAACGTTTTGGATTCCCTACCCTGTAAGTATCTATCGTGAATGATTATGATGTGTTTAGAAAACACATAGCAAACTATTAATACTTCATGATTTAAGTGTTGAAATAGCACTCATGGCTTAAAACAAGACTGTTTTACTGTTACAGTAATTTGATTTGGTTTTAGGAATTCTTTAATATTTGGATTTTTTTCCAAAGCAAACCTAAAAATTGAGTATTTTCCCTAACAATTAAGAATTGTTGGTATCAGTAGGTGGTATGGTGGTTAAAGCATTGGACTCCCACATGGCTGATCACAGTTTGAGTCCCAGCCCTGCCAGGACTTTTCCCCTCTCTCTTCCTCCTCTCTGCATTTTTCTAGGTCTCCCTCTGGTGAGTGCACATACCCTATAGTAAATTAAAAAGTAATAAGAATAAAAAGTTAAATAAATAATTATTTTTAAAAAGTGTTCACCATAGACCAAATCATCAATATCACTTGCTTCTTTACCAGCATTTAAAAATGCATTGTTTGTGCTTCATTCTTTTATTTTGCACTGGCAGCAGATGGCTTTAGGGAGAAACTGCGAAGTCAGGCCTTGTGGAACTTACATAGCATCTTCCTCTCTGTGTGTGACCACAAATAAAGATATCCTTCAACTTAGATAACCGAAAAACATGGGGCCATGAAGTTCATTCTATCATTCAACGCCATGTTGAGGGTGTTGTCTCTCTGGCTTTCTGTCTCTCTCACTCATTTAAGGAATAAATAAACATGCTTTCAAAATAAAATAAACCACCATGAGAATGACCTTAGAGTCACAAAAATTGTGCTCAGTCAAGAATCAAGAACTGAAAGTCTTAAGCCAAGACTTACTTAGTTTAAATTTCTTTTTGTCTTTATTTTCCAGACACTGCAAATGGATGTAAACAAGCTGAATATAACCCTGCTTCGGATATTTCGCCAAGGAGTGGCTGCAGCTTTAGGACTCTTACCCCAGCAAGTTCACATCAATCGCCTCATTGTAAGATGCCTGCACTTCACGTTCCCAGTATTCAAGCTGTATTTTATTACTTTGTAGCTCATGCTATATTCCTGTGGCTCATGAGCCAAGTCTGGTATAAAATCTGTTTTTTGTTTGTTTGCTGTTGGGTATGTGTGGCTTGCTGGAGAGAGACACAGAGAGAAAAGGTGAGAAATCACCCCCCAGTGGCAATGGCCATACTGCAATCCCTTCTCTTCCATCCTCCTTTTGGGATTTGGGACACACACACACACACACACACACACACACACCTGGAGTATTTTTCAAGTTGCCCAGTCAGAACTTGAACCATACAGCCAGCAAAGTGGTATCCAGCTGTCTTAACCATCACAACTTCTGCTGGTCCACTACTTGTTTTTATAAATAAAGTTTTATTGGAACAGCCCGCATTTATTCATTTACGTATTACCTATGGCTGCTTTCATGCTTCAGTGGCAGAGCTGAGTAGTTGGAACAAATTGTTTGGCCCCTGTAGCCTAAAAACTATGAGGTCATTTGCAAAAAAAAAAAAAAATCTCTCAACCCTGTCATATTTAAGGCTATCTACTCTGGCAAGGAGCCTCAAATACTTGCCTTAACAACCTAACAATTCGCAAAATATTCTCCATAAGACTGAAAACTTCTTCATCAGATAAGGCATTGTTTCTAGACAGTATCTATTAAACTCCTTCCGTAGAAAGATGGACATCGAATGAACAAAGCAGAGGATTTTAAATAGAGGAGAACCAATGCTTATGGATAGCAGTCCAAATGGAATGAAAGAATTGCTAGTCAAGAAAATTTTTTTTAAAAAAAATCTTGTTTGGGAATCAGAGGTGGCATGATGGAAACCCAAAGGATATGTCATATAGAGCCCTCTCTAGACCTATCTCTCAATCACCTACACCCATTCTTCCTCTGCTCCTCCTTTCTTCAGTGCTTGGGAGCCTGAATGTCATCCCACTATATGGTCCCATCTATATTTGAAGGTGGGAATGAGCAAGGATCCAAGAAGCCAAATTTAAATCACATGAGGTTTTGTTTAGTTTTGTTGTTTTGTGAAAATCTAGTCACTGAAGGTAAAAGGGACTTTGGATCCTCATATAGTTTTCAAATTCTTCTTAATTCCCACTGTGATGGGAGCCCAAGGACAACATGTTCTCCCTGACTTCAACTACTGTGTTCCTGCTTGCACTCAGCTTTCTCCTGCAACAACATCTGCATGCACCGCTATGAAAAGAATTTGCTTCTTGTTCTGATTTTGGGTTTATGTTTCTTTTCATTCTTCTCTGTGTGAAGGGTGAGTTTTTTCTTTCCCCATAAATATTTCTATTCTGTAAGTCAACAATTTTCGAAGACTAAATAAGCTTTCAAAGAGTTTTAGCACAGAACCACAGAAGAGGAAATGCAGCATCTCCTCAGATCCTGAAAGAGTGAAGTAGGTTGTTCATATCCAGGCCATACCTTGCATAGGTGAGAAGATTTAGGTTTTATAGATGGCTTGAATCTAGGCCTTGATTTTTTTATACATGCTTATATATACATTTTGCATATAGACTTAATGAACATAAAAGGGATAAAAGAGTGACTTTCCACACTCAAGAACGGATATACATATTCTTGGAGAATGTTAGTAGCATTGCTAAAAAATAGTTATCATAATAGATAAAGTTACAATACCTGAAGCAACATAGTGTGATGATTAAGGGCATGTGCACTGGAGACAAATGGAAAGAAACAAACTAACTTTCCAGGGAGGCCACATCCCTCTTGTGTGACTGTGGGCAAGTCACTTATATTCTTTCATTTATAAAAGAGATGGCCAGAATACATATCTCTTGAGGGTTTTTGTGTATTAAATAACAGATTTCAAGGACACTGGAGCTTGACAGGCATAAAACAAGTATTCTATTTCTACTACTGTTGTTATTAGGGCATAAACTATTTAAATTATTATAAACAATTTAATCAGTGGGAACCAGCAGTTAGCGTAATGGCTATGTTGCTGGACTCCCACGTAGTTGACCGCGGTTCGTGTCCCGGACCTGGTGGCTTAAAACTCACGCCGGGCGCGTGTGCGTGCATGCCCAAGATCCCGAGAGGAGAATGGAGGAGAAGGGATTGCGGCGTGACCATCCCCCCTGGGGGGTGATTTCTCGCTTTCTGTCTCTATGTCTCTCTCTGTCTGTCTGGCGAGTGCACGCACCCTATAGTGAAAATCTCTCCAAAAAAAAAAAAAAACAATTTAATCATTGTTTTCTATAAACAAACAAAAAAATTTAGCTGGGTTGCTAGAAGTACATCAATGGTTCCTTTTATACCTGGCTGAAACTCTGATAAACTGCATTTAAAGAATGTTTCTAGCATGAAAGAATCCAAGTGCTAAAAAGAAGACTAACAATAGTTTTCTTCTATAAGTGCATTGCACGAGCTGTTAGAGAGAATATTATCAATGGCACCTCACTTTTGTCTGGAGTTGGCTTTTATTTATTTATTTATTTATTTTTATTATCATCATAATCTTCTTTATATTACATTGGATTACATATAACTTTACAGTGTATTACATTGCTTTTTCAAAAGGGAATGCCATGCATGTCAGTCAATACAGAGACATTAATTTCCCCTCTTCAACATTCAATATCTTTTCTATGTTTCCCTAATCATCATTATTATTATTCTAATTATTTTTTAAAACAGTCAATTGCTATTTCTCATTTTGCTTGTAAAAAGACTTTGCCCATCATGAAATGCTTCTCAGAACAATCCAGTTGAGAATACTATATATGTCATCACCAACAGGTAATAAGCCATATCTGTTTCTCACTAACGTCCTGCCTCTTTTCTGTTCACTTTCTATCTTTCTCTATCCTCTTCTCTTCACTTCCCCATTCCGCACTGTCCTATTCTCATTAAGTACCTTCACTGCTTTTATGTCCTCCAATTTTTTGCTCTCTACCATAGAGTGC